AGCTGGACGTCTCTCTCTCTCTCTCTCTCTCTCTCTCTGCATCCATTTATCTGTCTAGTGAAGAGAGCTGGCGATTTGCCGAGATGGGGGCATCAGGGAAATGGCTAAAATCCCTTATCGGTGTCAAGAAGTCCGACAAAGACGACCACCCTGTATATATCTCTCTCTCTTTCTCTCTAAAATGGCAGCACATCTGATCCTCCTTGACATTTACCATCTGGTTTTATGTTTCATTGTTAAGGTAAAGCTGGGGAATAGCAGCAGGTCTAGAAAATGGAGGCTGTGGAGGAGCTCATCAGGGGGGAGCGCCAAATCCAGCACTGAGACCTCAGATTTGTCGCCTGCAGCTGCTGCAGAGGCCTTCAACGCGGCGGTGGCAACTGTGGTCAGAGCTCCTCCCAAAGATTTCAGGGCAGTCAGGGAAGAGTGGGCTGCCATTCGCATCCAAACCGCATTTCGGGGCTTCCTGGTAACATGACACAGTAAACCCATCAATGGATATTTGTCATTATTTTTGTTTCAATCCCAATTTCTGTCTACTTGCCGCAACAACTAAACCCTAATGTTGTAGATATTTTTTCTTTCTATTGTGAGATTGATTTTTTTGTACGTTTCTTTGAATGCTTAAAAGAGCTCTGGGTCTAAACCTGTGCTACCCATCGAAGAAAAAGTTTTGCTCTTGTTTTTTCTTTGGGAGGATTTAGGGTCTGATGAGGTATGACTGATTGCAGGCAAGGAGGGCTCTGAGGGCTTTGAGAGGATTGGTGAGGCTTCAGGCTCTGGTGAGGGGTCGCCTTGTGAGGAAGCAAGCAGCTATAACACTGAGGTGCATGCAGGCATTAGTGAGGGTCCAGGCCCGCATTCGAGCTCGCCGCGTGAGGATGTCAAATGAGGGACAAGCCATCCAGAAAATGCTAGAAGTTCGTCGCAACAAAGACAATCCCTTCAGAGAAGTTGAGGTATTCTTCTTCTCTCTTCTGAAAAACGTACATCATTGTTCATTCAACTATTTTCTCACAACGACTTTATGAGAAGCATAATATTTTATTTGTTAAGTGATTTATGGATTAGATACTTGTCTTTTTCGCTATACCATTTGATTGTTTGGATTAGAGTTTCCTTCATAATCTGTGAATGCTTAGTGATGGGTATCTTGGCTTATAGGTTCTTGTTTTGACTGTGTTACCTTATCGTGAATATGAGTGCTTTGTTTTGATAGTACATCTTCGTCTCCATTTCTCTTGTTGGGTTTCAGGATGGCTGGTGTGATAGTCAAGGAACACTTGAAGAAATTCGAGCAAAGTTACAAATGAGGCAAGAAGGTGCTATTAAGAGGGAGAGAGCCATTGCTTATTCACTCTATCAGCAGGTTTCTCTCTGTAACCTGTCTTCGATCTCCCTTACACTGTGTCGGGTCTCACAATCTGATGTCTTTCATGCTTACACAACGCAAATGCTTCTTGGATTTGAACTTTCATGCCACTGTTGCAGGATTGCTCTGCTAATTCCCTTCTCTGATTGTTTCTTTGATATTTATTTGCAATCCATTTTCAGCAATGGAGATCAAACTCAAATACAAAATTAAATATAGCAATGAATTCTTTAAAGCATGAACCAGACAAGAACAGCTGGGGATGGAGCTGGCTAGAACGATGGATGGCAGCTAGACCTTGGGAGAACAGATTGATGGAGCAACCAAACACCGAGCATTCTGATACATTCTCTTTCAAGCACTCTGATGATCAATGGAAACATGGGGAACCCAATTCAGTTAAAGTTAGAAAGAACAATATCAGCACTCGGATCTCTGCAAAACCCCCACCTGGGTACACTCATCGAATTGCTAGATCATCATCAACCCCAAGTTCTGAGCTACCCTTTGATGAAGGCTCGCCATCTTCAGTAAGCACATCTACCCCTGTATCAGGAAGCACTCCCTTGACATCAGAGAGGACTGAAGAGAGTGCTTCAAGTAGACCCAACTACATGAATTTGACAGAATCAACAAAGGCAAAACAGAGACCTTGTAATTCTCATAGGATTCTAAGGCATTCTATGGACGATTTCCAACTACCTAAGAAGGCGGCTTCTCTTTCTAATGGAGAGTCAAGGAGCACTGGTGGCTCTGATCCTTCTGTTACATCTGGTAAGTTAAGCCACTCAATGGCACGGGTGGATAGGCACCTGGTCAGAATCAGGGAAAATGGCAGTTACTGTGGAGATCTCGAAAGGCCACCTCTTTTGCCTTAGTGTTTCAATCCACATGCTTACAGCTCAAATTGGATATGGATGGAATTCTATGAATTGGATCATGGGCAACATCTTGTTGTTCCTTTATATTGATCTCCACCCACCCCTCCCTCCCGAACCCCCCCTCCCACCCCCCAGTCCCAATTCTTCAAAGCAAATGATGCTTGATTGACAGGGGGTTTCAGAGTGATGATCAATGTATTTGTTTTCAGAGCGAAATCTTGATCTTGTGAAATAATGAGAGAGAGCTTTTCTCAGGCTTCCAATGGTTAGACCAGGTTGAATTGTTCCAAGTTTCAGAAGTAACTTTGGTCCGATTTTACTTCTGTTTGTGTATTTGTTCTCTATGAGCAATGGCAGTGAATGATTTGAGTTGTGTGGATAATGGTTTTGTTGTCTTTGGAGAATGAAGTTTAGTTGCCCAAGAACAGCAGTTCTGTGTATCCAACTTCTTGTGACTAGTTTTCTACTTTTCTTCTTTATGCTTGTCTTTTTTAAATGGAAAGAAACAAATTATTTGATGCATAACAGTGTTTTGGTTTACAATAGGGAGCAGGGTTTATTAATTGATAAGTGGCCCTAGTAGCTTTTTGATATAATCATAGATAGAACTGGTAAAAAACAACATGAAAACATGTAAACAAAGCGCTTCTGTTTGCCTCATTTTTGTTTTCAGTTACTCGTACTGCCACTGCTTGAATGCTACATGAGTTATTGGTAGGCAAATAACCAGTTATGTAACCTACCATAAAGAAATCAGTGTCTGGGTGAGGTTATCAATGAGGTTATCAGAGTATCTCTTTAGGATTGGTTTGCTCACCAAATTGAGAAATTTTATGAATTGACTTTTTCTCAATTGCAAATGAAATGGCCATAAAGAACATAAGTAGGAGGAAAGGGAAAGAGGAGATTATGAATCTCAAGAATGATAAAGGGAATGGAAAGTTCATTCATTATTATCATCATTTGAAATTTATTCCAATTATTTGGGGTTGGTTACATGAATTCTGATCCAACATTCTACTCTAGCAAAAATCATGCCCTCAGTAAAACCATATGCCATCATATCTTTTTTCGCTATTTTCATCTATATTGTCATGCCCTCAATAAGATCATATATCATCAAATATTTTCTCGCTATTTCCATCTATGTTCTTTTAGACCTTTCCCTTGCTCTTTTAAAACCTTCCAATTGAACTGCACATGACAAGCCCACTTAACTCTACTTCCCTCATCTTATTGCTTATTGGAACTACTCTCAAAGGCAATATTCAGAAGCAACCATAATGGTAATTGCCTATTTTCAAATTGTTTTGGTCTAAAAAGGTTTTAATTCATTTTTGTGAGGTTGAGAATTTTTCTAGAAGGATTTTAAGGATAATCAATTATTAAGTCTCCCCCCTTGTTGAAAAATGAAACAAGGCTTAGTATAGGTTTGAAATTATCTTTAAAAGCTAGCTCTTTTCCCTGTTAGAAAATCAAAGTAAATATGAGTTGCTTTTTTTTTAGCCAATAGCACATTTGCCATTGTTTTTTAGAATTTGGAATTCCTTTCTAAGTATAATCTTACAAACTGTTGGGCTTACTTAGAAGTACGAAATTCAATGAAATGTTTTCTTTTTTCCTTTTGTAAAGACTCTATCCTAGAGAGTAGAGATCAATTGATAGAGAAGAAATTTCAACTAAGCAGCGCGCCTTTGATCAATGGGCAATTTGCCATTGGTCAAAGAATGAAAATTGAAACTATTTAAATAGTTTTCAATTACTTTGAACTTTGAAGGAGTGAATGTACTAAAAGCAACCATGGATTTGAAATTCGTCAAAATTAACAAATCCAGAATCCTATGGGTCTACTGCATGATTTTTGTCAAAAAAAGAAAAAGGAAAACATGTTAGTGGCTTCTACCCTACTTCACATGGAGGCAAACATGTTAGTGGCTTCTACTCTAATTCTAATGGAGGTGGAACCTCCTCAACCTGCAACATCTTCTCCCTCAGCTGATCCCACACCCAACTTCCCAATTTGCACTTCTCCTCTGCCTCTGTCTTCCTCAACTCCTCTCTTCTTGTCCTCAAAGACCTCACACATCTCCTCCAAGGTCCTCCCCTTTGTCTCAGGCAGAAACACATAAAAGAAGATAGCCCCCAAAGCCGATATCCCCGAAAAGACAAAGAATGTCCCTCCCATTGATATTGCCTTAGTAACTGAGAGGAAGCTCATGGACACAGCCCCACTCACCACTCTGTTCACCCCCACCGCTACGGCAGTCCCCTGCGCCCTCAGCCTCAGTGGAAATATCTCGGATGAGTAAACCCATGTTATGGGTCCCAACCCTACAGAAAAACACGAAACGGTGGCACACACCGAGATCACACACAACACCACCGCCCACGCAACGCGACTGCCCACCAAAGCGCCCACCCCGAGCCCTGCCAATGAAATCGCCATCCCTATTGAGCCCCCCAACAACAATGGCCTCCTTCCTGCCTTGTCCAAGAACAAGGCCGACACCAACACAAATGCAGTCTTCATAAACCCCATCAAGATCGTCACCCCGAAAAGCTGCTTCTTCTTCTTCAGTCCGGCCGCCTTAAACACCTCAGGGCAATAGTACACCACTGCATCATTGCCCGAGGCTTGCATAAAGAAATTGATCCCGATGGCAGCAACTAGCATTCGACGTACAGGCCTCGACGGCCTCAGAAACAATTCTTTCCATACGTGACCCCCTGATACAACATCCCCTGCCTCTGCCGCCTCCAGGATCTCTGCCAACCTCTCCTCCGCCTCAGCCTTGCTATCCGAAACCCTATTTAACACATTCCTCGCTTGCTCAATACGGCCTTTCATGACCAGCCACCTCGGGCTCTCAGGCATAATGAGCACACCAAGAGCCAAGAGCATGGCCGGAACGGCAGCAATCCCCAGCATTATCCGCCAATTTATGTTCTGGGGTAAGCTCGAGAACCCATAGTTCGATACATAGCCTAACAAAATCCCAACATTTATGAAGACCTCGGGGAGAGAGGTGAGGAAGCCACGAGACATGGCAGGGGAGATCTCGGCAGTGTATACAGGGGCGATCATGAGGGAGTAGCCGACGCCTATGCCGGCGACTACCCGGCCCGCCATGAGGAATGCAAAGGAGGGGGCAAAGCCCATGAGAACAGCCCCCAACAAAAAGGTTGTGGCAGCCAAGATGATGGTGAAGCGCCTCCCGATCATGTCCGAGGTCTTCCCTGAGGCCAAGGACCCAATGAGAGAGCACACATTGAGGGAGCCAATGAGGATCTCTTCTTGGGTGGACGAGATCTTGAGATCGTCCCTGATGTAGAGCACCGCCCCACTCATCACCCCAATGTCTGCATGGAAGAACAAATGGCTGAGAGAGACAGAGAGAGAGAAGCAAAATAATGGCTGCTAGGAATTTGATCATGGCGATAAGAGAAAGAAAGGCTCACTATGTTGATTAAGGAACAAATTTTCAAGCAAAATAATGGCTGCTAGGAATTCAATCATGGCAAATCACCATGTTCATTATGGTAAGCATCTTCAAGTATCTGTGAAGAAAAAGGAAGAAAGACCGACACGACAATGCTTGCTGGGAGAATACAAATAAGGAAGAACAAACCAAACTTCCCAAAAGTAAACAACCATGAACTCAAACATCTACATAGAGTATCTGTGGAGCGTACAGAGACAAAAACCAGAACAATGGCTGTGAGAATTAGATCATGAGAGAGAGAACCCAGCTTTCCAAAAGTCATGAAATAAAGTTAGAGAGCCATTTTCAAGCATCCAAAGGAGCATATTGCATAAAAGAAGAGAAGGAAGAAACCAAACTTTCCAAAAGTAAAGAACCATGAACTCAAACATTTACATAGAATTATCCGTGGAGCACAAAAGGTACACAGAGACAAAAACCACAACAATGGCTGTGAGAATTAGAACATGA